GTAACAGCCAATTTACAGTATTTTTGCTTTTTGGAAATGTCCCATTGCTATGTCATTTGCATTATTTGTTGTCAATGAAGCCGCATGACCATATGAACTAGGAGGCCCCTAACAGTTCAAGAATAAAAGCCAACTTCACTTCAAGTATTCCTTTACACCTAACATTTCGTAGAGAGATTATATTGACAACTTTATGGATAAGGCTGAGACAACTATAACTGACATCCCCCATGTCAAGGAATTCCAGCAGTAACCCACAATCAATTTCTCAAAAATATGCTAGAGGGTTCATTCACTAGCACAGAAGTACGATATGAACTGACGCGACGTGACGAAGGAAAAATCAGACTTACACTGTAACGGATATACCCCTTTGAAGTTAGAATATGTCTTCCCAAAAATTATTTTCTTTTGAAATAAAACCATGTTACAAATCACGGAAGTGTTTAACAACAAAAGATCCACCAATACGATACTGTTTAAAAGTGCTTCCTAAGAAAGAGATACAATATAACATACTAATAATAACACCGATGACGTACGGTATGGGGAATATGTTATTCATTGAATGATCAACCAAATTTGGCAACTAACGCAATTAATATCATTATTGTTGTTACACTTATTACTCTTTAAACAATGCTAAAAGCTCAAAATATGTATATTTCACCCAATTTATTGCAGTTAGATGAATTAAGGTAAGCCTTGAAGAAAGTAACCGTCGATTTCGACGGGTTTCACTTAGTAGATTTCTAATAACCCAATTACAGTAACATGTAGGCCTATTCACCTCTGGTTACTCCCCGTGGACGTCCAAATTTTAAATGTTAACATTTTAGAAGGGTTAGACAAATCATGAAACTCTAAAATGCTGTGGAATCCAACCAAAAATAAGGTAGAAAATAGAATTTAAGACAAACATTCGGTTATTGGCTCACACATCTACATGTTTTTTTTTAGTTAAAAAATGGCGACAGCTGGTCCATATAGATGGGATGTTTACTTCAGTACCCAATAGTGAATACGGTGTACATTACATGTTTTGGTCGAGTTTTCGACCACCGGACGACCACTAGTATTATTTAATTTATAGATCACTTGACTTGATTAAAGTAAAGCCATAGATAAAACATACTCCCCTAGTAGATTTCTCATCCCGTATGGAACAGCTGAAGCCGGTGCATAACCAAACAGTAAAGCACAAAATCCTTAAATTAACCCTAAAATAATAAACAAAATCCGTCGACACTAACGCACGCAGTGTCGCCGAACATGAACTAGACACGAAAGACGAGCTTCAAAATTTACAATGGGATAATAAGTCTACTAGTGGTTGGTTAGTCAATGGTTTCACCTAGAACAAAATGAGCCTTTCGCGCAAAACTGGGGTTTTGAGTGTTCGTATTTTTTATTTCCAATGGACATAGGCACGTTTCAAGTAATTAAAAGCCTTCTCAAGCTTGTAGAGAATACATCAAAATAGTTTCATCGTGATCTGTTTGTTCGTTTTCCCGTCGAAGAGAGCGTAAAATAACATCTTGTGCGTCACAGACAGACAGGCAGAAATTGAGTTAGCACGTTCCCAACTGTTCCCATTCCATTCGGACTGCCGACTGCCGTTAGTGATATGATATCTGAAATACGATGTCATCTTGGAGAGAGGTGGAGGTGGGGAATGGGGAGCCTCTGCTTCCAGTTGAAGGATGTATCAGAGGGTGTAGTGTATACATTATATGTGAGAGAAACGGACACGGACATCGGTTCCCGCGAAGAATGTGATTTTATGTCACATGCCACACTGTGTACAAGTAAAAACTATCGCTACGTTCCTATCGGAAATTCCGTGAAGAAGTTTTAAACTTTCCATTAGGGTTCCAAGGTCTCGCTCAAAATCACTTAATATTGATATTAAAATTATTATCTGGCAACGAACACGTTTTCGGTTGTATTTGGATCCGAGGTCCCGCACCAGGACCTCGAAACAAGCGGGGACCTCGGACCCACGGTGGAAAATCACATCGATCGCCTCGGAACCGGCCTTATACGCACGCACGCAAAAATTCACAAACTTTTAGATTAGATTTATAATATTAGTAAGATGGAACATTGACTATATGTGTGGTATAAAGTCAATGGATGAAACTATTTATTTATTGGCTAAGATAAGCTGAAATAAACAAAACAGAATCCTGAACACCAAGGAAACTAACGATGTTATTTTAACACCAACTTTAACTTATTTCTGCCGAACTTATTTAAACTATTTATGCCGATTGCACAATGGTTTTTAATTACCAATTTAAACTGATGTAATGATTTTATTCTGAGCTATAGCAACTGTTATGCCCAGCAACTATGCCAGTAACAAAAATTAAAGTATCCAATAGTCAATGATATAATATAAATAAGGATTTTTTTATATCTCCATCGTACTTGTAATAACGAGCTAGCATAAAAAAGACGTGCGAGTTATTAAAACTATCACTAAGAATATTACAACTCTAAAAGTTGTTGCATTATTGCCTGCTTGTGTAGCCTTCATCTCTGGCGACGCAATGTCCGCCCGCATCTTAGACCTTCCGGGACTCGAATCTTAGACCTTCCGGCACTCGAATCTTAGACCTTCCGGGACTCGAATCTTAGACCTTCAGGGACTCGAATCATAGACCTTCAGGGAATTAGACCTTCAGGGACTCGAATCTTAGACCTTCCGGGACTCGAATCTTAGACCTTCCGGCACTCGAATCTTAGACCTTCAGGCACTCGAATCTTAGACCTTCAGGGAATTAGACCTTCAGCAACTCTCATTTTATAATAATTTATTTACAAAATATACATTGTGTGCCCAAGGTCTAATCCCGCAAGGTCTAAAACAGTATCAGTGGATGAGTTTTTTGCATTGACTGTACTCTTAGACCTTCCGGGACTTAGACATTCAACATATTACCAGATTAGACCCTCAGCAACAAGTACAAACTGCAAAATGTGTGTCGAAGGTCTAATTAGACCTTCCGGGACTTAGACCTTCAGCAACACTCCCGTTCTGTTTTTGTTCTTGTTATTCTTTTTTGCATTGTGTTGCATGTATTGATATTTCTCGTTGACTGATCTGATATTGTTTATTTTGTTAATTGTTAAATATTTTTCTTTGTCTTTGCTTGAAATTTGTTATCTGATATTGTTACTACTGATCTGATATTGTTTATTTTGTTAATTGTTAAATATTGTTCTTTGTCTCTGCTTGAAATTTGTTGTACAGAATCATGTATTTTTGAATTGTCATGTACAAATTGGCTACTTACCGTGGAAATAAATGAAATGAAATGAACTGAAATGGAGGTACAACTGAATCAGAGAACTTATCTGGGTTATAGTGCTCATATTTTCTGAAGATAGCTGGTTCGATTCCTAGCGAGATAGTTTCCAGACCCAGATGCCATTAGTAATATTTAGCTAATCTAGAAATTTACCTAATACTGATGCCATCTAACAAAGAGGTCGTTAAATTGTAACAAGGCCAGGGTTTGGACACTTTAGTGCCAATCCAGGCATTGAGATAAATAGATTATAACTGGAGTCACTCAGGGAGTCACTACTCTCTGGTTGAACATTATTAGAAAAAAACGTGCCACTGTTTTGCTGTTTTTTTTTCGGTGTTTCGTGTTTTTAGGTTGGCCGTGTGATCGGTTGGTGATGCTGTCAAATACAATTCATCATAAAGCTGTCACCCGTCTACCATGTTATCTTATGGGACGTCTAGCGCTAAACTACAATATTTGCGACGTTGCCAATTCTACCAGGCCGCGGCCTGGAATTAAAGGTGGCCGTGCTCAAATACATTTTGATTCCATAATTGATATTTATTTAAAACAGCTAATTCAAAACTCTAATCATAATTACTATTTATATAAATCAATATTATATTATTTCCCATGCTAATAAAAATATTTAGGAAAAGGGGGCAATATAAGTGTTAAAAAGGGTGTATTTGTATGGAAGCTGATAGAATTGTTTTGTAATACCGGAACTGGAACTACAACGGGAACAGTTTGTGACGTCATTTTGGAGTGCGAATAGTCACTTCGAAAAAAATATGTTCGTTTTACAGTGTACAGACATATTCTAATTGAAATTTATTTGTTTAATAACATGAACACTGTTTGTTGAAACTACAAAAGTTTGGATTTAATATGTTCAGCCGTTATTGGGTAGTAGTTGGCATAATTTCCGATCTCAAAGAGCTTCGCGGCTTCGCTCCCTCCGGTCAGCTGAACTTTTATTTCAGGATTCAATTTGCCAAAAGTGTCATTTGGAGGCTTCTGATTGGCAGAGGGAACACATTACCGGAACAATACAAATTGCCGTCATCGGCCTCGGTGGCATAGAGGATAGAGTGCTTGACTTTGACTGCAAATTGGGAGGGCCGGGATCACTGAGCTAGTGAGCTATAATTCATTATAGCTCAGTGGCCGGGATCGGATCGAATCCCTTCGATATAATCAACATTTTGTCTAGGAATTTTTGATTATCAGCAATTTGGTTGGTTTGGTTAGGTTATGACATTTTAATTTTATAATTAAAATATTATAAAATTGAATTTGAGCCATTTATAGTTTTATTTTATGAACAAAACTATTTTTTCGATTAAACCTTCATTCGATTTTGCATTATCAGCAAGTCTGGTTAGTTTGGTTAGGTTATGACAGTTTAATTTCATAATAAAAAAAAATATAAAATCGAATTTGAGGCATTTAACATTTTATTTAATGAACAGAACTAATTTTTCGATTAATAAACCTTCATTAATAGTCAGTCAGAAGCCTACAAATGACACTGTCAGCAAAATTTATCCTGAAAAACAAATCGTGCCGCCAGTCAATTAGTTGCCTCCAAACAAAACAGCTATTTCAACACTACACTACTTGCCTTCTTTCCTATTATTTTATTTTGAAGAAGAAAGTAACCTAACCTAACAAAAACAAACTGAAAACAGTGAAAGAAAACAAAACCGTGTTGTAAATGTAAACATAACTTATACTTTACCATTACTTTACGTATAATATAGGGAGTTTTTTTATTATACATCATTGTAACTTTGTTCAAGTAACTTGAGGCGAAGCTTGTAATGAATTAACACATCTCTACTTTTATTTTTACTGTAAAATAACGTTGATTTGATATATAGAATGAAGGTTAACTTACTTCCCTTTGAAATTGACATTTTTGTTAAGTTAAAAGATTTTTACTAACTACACTATACAACTTTTTGGGGTGAAAGTTTCCCAAAAAACCTACAGTATTTGATTTTAAATTAGCGCTTCTATTTTAAATTAATCAAATAGCCTAAGTGGCATTCATTGTGCACATAGATTATAAACTAGCTTAGGACGAAAAGGATGAATAAATCATGGGAATGGTAAGTCCTGTCTTGATCATGTTAATTTTTGTGCCAGTCCATTAAATACAGACTAAGTGACATAGTGATTTAAGTTAGTTGTTGTATCGGATCCATCGTCCATCAATAATAGGTTTTTACCCTCTCTCAGGCCCAGATAGCTATGTTGATAGACGGAGACTGTTCCTTACGCTTTTGTTAACAGAGATAATCTTAGTTAACAAATGGGTTACAGTTCATTAAAAGCCTTGCAAAGCAATTTTAACGGAAGGTGTCAGAGATTGAAGGGAATACTAACGGACTAAGGGAGCAACAGACTAAGTTTAGTGCGTTTCCTGCTTTAGCCCTCCGAGTGTTAGGCTATTTGTCGATGCGTCGACACATAACACACTTTGTGGATATTTCTAGGCATAATCTGTGGATGTGATACTCTTTATTAACGTCCGAACTAGTTGTACTACGACTATCCGCAGTACTAGCCTATCCTGATAATTAGACTAGTTTGTAAATTACAAGGCAAAATGTGGTTAATATTCCATTAAACTGTAGGTCCCTTAGTTGCCATTGGCTGTATGGGCTAACTTATTAATTAATTAACAGTCCTATCTAAGGAAAATGTCGGCCTTAGTCAGTAACAAGACTACAAGATTACTCCACTCATCCTACACTCATCTCCATTTGAATACTTGGCTTAAAATACCTACCTTTGAATGGTCATGTGCGATTGGGTGAAAAAGCACCCATTTCTTCAATTCAAAATTTTAAATACCTGTCATTTTGGTTAGGGGTGACATATTGACTTCAGGTTTGCACCATTGCTTAAGTGTCTTGACAAACCCTTCAAAATGAGGGATCACTCTATAGGGGTTGTTATTTGAAAAAAAAAACCTGTCACGGGGGTTAAAAACATGTTTGATTAAAAAAATTGCGGAACCTTTGTTTTACAATCAATGCCACAAACAGAATATTTCTATATGTTTCGGTTTAACAAATACAGATTTGTTTCCATATTTGTGAAATTGGTGCTTTTTACATAGGCTAGGTAAATTAAATTTTGGAATACCTGCTATTTTGGCTAGGGGTGAGTTATCCACCTCAGGTTTGCGTCATTGTGTTTCTTTTGACAAACTCTTCGAATTGTTAGAGGGCTTAAAAGATGTTTTTGATGTAAAAAATTGCAGACCTTTTGTTAACAATCAATGCCACAAACAGAATATTTCTACCTATTTCCGTTTTAAAAATACAGATTTGTTTCAATACTAAATTTACACTGTAGCCTATGTATAGATTTACGTCCGATTTTTGTCCGATTTTGATGTAATTTGTTTTAAAGGTGTAAGGCAGGATAAATTTGAATGATTTCCCGAACAAGCATGATCGAACCATGGGAACTCGGTTTTATCCAAAAATTGGGTTTTCTCATTTTTGACCCTCAAAACACAAAAATTCCCAGTTTCCCTCTGGACCTTTTTAAAGAGCTTAGAAAAACAAATAATATAGTATTTCAAAATGTATTTTTGTACAGTTATTGGTAACAGAGAAAATTTAAAAAATTTAAAATTCCCATGTTATTTTTATGGAGAATATTGTAAAATTTTGTAGTTTTCTTGTTTATGGATATATTTTAATCAAACTTTGCAAATTTATTTATTTTATACTAAGCTATTAAAAACACACTTTATTAGTTTCCTTGTAGCAGCAAACCTGGTTACTCATTAAACCTAATCAGTGGCGGATCCAGAGGGGGGGGGGGGAAGGGGGCACATGCCCCCTCTAGGGCATACATATATACAGGGTGACAAAAAAGTCTGGAAACGGTTTAATATCTTTTTAATTAAATCCGTTAGAAAATTCAAACCTTTCACATCAACTTACATGTATAAAAGCTCTTTTTCCAAGAATTATCATTTTTTTACCTTCACCGGGGGACGACCCACGAGGAGTAGGTACATAATCTTTAATGTAAGCATAGGTTGATATGCACACCATTTTAAAGGTCTGGTCAAGTGGATTTCATTGCCGGAAACCGCGTCAAAAAGGATTCATCCGTTACAAAATGGCGGCTGTCCAAAGTTCTTGTTGAATATACCTGCACAGGCCTTACTATTGGTAAATACTCGTATTGACCATTAGCTTGAGAGCTGAAACTGTATTTTAAAGTCAACTAGCTCATAGACTAATATTATTCAATCTTCAAAACAAATTTAAACGGGTTTCAGATTTCCGGGCCAAGTAAAAACCATTTAATGTTGAATATGAGTATTTACCAATACAGTACTAAGGGCCCTTTCACACGAGACCACTGGTGGCCGCCACAGCTTTAACATTGTTTTAAATGGGACCTTTCACACGCAGCCACTGTAGTTGCCCGCCACTACACAGTGGCCGAGCAGTGTCTCCTCGCGCAACTGCTAGTCGGCAACCGCCGGCAACTGCAGTGGCGGCAACTCGTCGCGGGGCATTGAATTAAATGGGAGCTTTCACACGTAGCAACCAGTGGCCGCCACCGTGGATGAGCGCGCAGCTACTATTTTGAATCAGTTCACGTGCAGACTGCAAAGACAAACGCACTATGGTATTTGTTGAGTGTTTTCGTGATGAATTGTTTGTTTGTGAAAATGAGTGATCAGAAGAAAAATAAAGAGGACGTTTCTGAAAAAGAAAAAGACAAAGGAAAATAACAGAATAAGAGAATAAACAAAATAATAGAAAACAAAGTTAATACTGAAGATCTAATTTGCGAAATTGAAAAGTAACCGGCAATTGGTATAGCACGCCTGTGTCTTTGCCTTATTTTCTTTATTATCAACGCGAGAAAAAGGAGATGTTCATTGTTCAACAGCATTTTCACAACTACCATTGTACAGTGGCTGTAGTAAAGTGGCTTGTAAGTTGCCTGTATCATCCACTGCAGTTTCCCGGCCGGTAACTGGTGGCGGACACCGGTGGCCGCCACCAGTGGCCTCGTGTGAAAGGGCCCTAAGGCTTCTGCAGGTATATTCCGCAAGAACTTTGGACTGCCGCCATTTTGTAACGGATGAACCTTTTTTGACGCGGTTTCCGGCAATGAACTCCACTTGACCAGACCTTTAACATGGTGTGCATATCAACCTATGCTTACAAAGATAGTGTACCTACTCCTCATGGGAGGTCCCCTGGTGAAGGTTAAAAAATGGTAATGCTTGTAAAAAGTAGTTTTCATACATATAAGTTGATGTGAAAAGTTTGAATTTTCTAACGAATTTAGTTAAAAATATATCAAGCCGTTTCCAGACTTTTTTGTCACCCTGTATATATTTTACTGCATTTAATAAAGTAGTGCATACACATCGTGTAAAATAATTTGTCACACTGACTTTGGACAAAATAATGGTATAATACTGCCATTTTTGAGACATAGTTTACAAAATTTTTTGGGGGGGGTACCCCCAAACTCCCCGGACCCACCAGTTCGCCCCACCCCCTTTATGACTGTTCTAGATCCCCCACTGAACCTAATGTTATTTTTAGATTTAATTAAAATCCATTCAGACAAATAGAAATTTTCTTAGTCGGCAGGTTTGCTGCGGCAGGGTATTTTTCTTTCATTTTGCCTGTGTCCACGCCAGTACGGAATTTTTCTATGAAGCCACTTTAATCACTTTTATGGGAAAAGCGGTCCATATCCATTAAAGTTTTGTAGGTGTGTCGGGAATTGAACCTGTCCCTCCCACACCGAAGTCCAAAATGCAAACCACTTGGCTAGCAACACACCCATGGTATTTATTGGTTGTTTGATGACACTGCCTCTCTTCCACTCTGCTGAGCATTGTTCCTATAGGGTCCATATTTTCAAAATGAGTTTTAGATCAGCTGTGAAGAAATATAGGCTATATAGGCTACCATATCTACCTAGTGCATTCCTGCTGTGATCATTCTGTTTTTCTTCTCTGTGGTTCCATGAATCATTTCAATCAGTCAGTTTTAAAGCTGGGTTTACCTAGGCGCGGAAGCGGAGAGAGGAACGCGGAGAGTGGAAGAGAAATTAACATGGTGTTCCGCTCCGCTTCTAGGAAAACAGTAACATTAAATTACCTAAGACAAGTGGAGTCCGCTCTCCGCGTTCTCTCTCCGCTCTCCGCTACCGCGCCTAGGAAAACCCAGTTTAAGATGAACTTCAATCTCATTGTTGCAGAGGGTCTGTGTTTTAAATGTTCATTTATCTATCTATCTATCTATACTTAATTAATACGCAAGCAGATTTTTTGTGACAATTACTCCTCCGAAACTACTGAACCGATTGTCATGTTTTTGGTGTCATTGGAAAGAGCGTAGCGTGAAGTTGTGCAGGAAACTTTATTTTTAGGGAAATAATGAGAGAGTGAGGCCCTGGAGCCCCTTAAAGTTTCTTATTTCTCCATAAGATTAACATGGGAAACAAAAATTGTTATGAAACTCCAGCTGTTGTCAGAAATCAAAAGTGAGAAGAAGAGCATAGGTTAATTGTAAACAGTTAATAAGTTTGCTAACAAAACAGTTTGCTACAAATATTTGCTGACTTGGTTGAAGCTCTTTTTAAAATAACGCCTGTAATACTTAGCAATTGCTCGAGTTTGAGCAACAGGGACACTAGTACTTATTTAATACGCAAGCAGGATTTTTTTGACAATTACTCTTCCAAAACTATTGAACCGATTGACATGTTTTTTGGTGTCGTTGGAAAGAGCGTAACTTGAAGTTGTGCAGGAAACTTTTTTTTAGGTAAATAATTAGAGAGTGAGGCCCTCGGGCCCTTTAAAGTTTTGTATTTCTCCGTAAGATTAACATGGGAAACAAAAACATTGTTTTGAAACTCCAGCTGTCAGAAATTAGATATTGATAATTGGTCTCCTTGGAAGCATGAGAAAACTCACAATGTTTACATTAGCTTTGACATTTTAAATGTAAACAACCAGAACTCTCAAATTTCAGACAGCTGATCCAAAAAAAAATAAACAACTATGTGGTAGGTTTATTTAATCTTAAACTTTATGATAGATTAT